CGATTCTATATAATCGGTCAGACTGGATTAGTGCGATGGAGTACCAGCATGAATAATTATAATCATTATGTTGCAGGGATGTCAGTGGATACCCTGAGGTCTGTGTAGTTGGAGTTACATTTACCTGATGATATAATTTTCATTGATTATGTGAATGCCATTTCTATGTCTTCATTTGCATGTTTTATGTACTGTGTTGTGTGGTGAGTCAGTAGATGTGATTGCTGACTGATTGCCTAATGATGTCATTAGCATGTGGGGTATGCTGACGGCATCATTATGTTGCAGGTTTGTGCAGTGTTGTTATCAGTTTATACGATATTGCTGCCCTGGGAGCTGTGTTGAGGGTTTAAGGGACCTCTAGGATTATTCAGGAGAAATTCACAGTACTTAATGAGAGCAGGCAGTTGATTGGTTAATTGCCTTGCTGAGGTAAGTGTGTGTTGACAGTAGTCCTTTGCAATGGTTGCAAGATAAGGGGGGCAGTAATATTGGTATACTCTTGTTGTTGCACAACAGTGTGTCATTATTGTGTGGGCACAGTAATTAACGAGTTGCAGTAGCCGCAACCGTATGTGGGCAGTGCATTTGTGCTGTTGCATGCCATTGTAGTGTGACCTATGTAACACTGGGGTTACTTTGTTTCTTTAAGTTGTGTTGAGGACTTAAGGATTCAGTGAGTTAATAATTGGGGAATTAACTGGATAAGGGGTGCACACTTATTGTTGAGTGAGTGAGGGCTGTTATGAGAGAACAGCGTTGAGCTTGAGTGAGATACGTCTCGGGAGCAATTAATTGTCCGTGTGACAACTAATTGACCACTCTAGCTAATTATGTAATTAGCCTTCTCATCATGAATTCATGTAGTGGGAGAGAATCTGTCAGTATTTGTGTTAACGTAATTTCCTTGAGACTAATTACCTTTTGGGGGGTATAGCAATTAGTGGCTCATGTTAATTAGAGGAGTAATTAACGTCTGGAGGGCTCAGATGACTCGGTAAAGCGAGGTCATGGAGCTAGCATAAATCGTTGTATTAATCATATCCTGTCTGAGGACAGTGGATTAATGGCACTCTTGTTAATTAGGGGTAATTAACTCCTTTCCCGTGAATTCACAGTGTTTGATGAGACCTGCTTAGGCAGTGCGGAGTGAGACGTATTTATGGATGATTAATTATCGGTCCTGGTGACAATTAATTGCTCGGAGTTAATTAGGGTAATTAACACTCACTAGTAATTTTTTGACACAGACTGTTGAGAAGCTACCAAGTTAGGGTAGGCTTAGTTAACGTAACTCAATGGGGATGTAATTAGTGGTCCGTTTGACCTTAATTGAGGATTACTCACTGAATACTTGCTAGGAGTCAAGTGTGATGTAATATATGTTTGAGTTATTGTTAACAAGAGAGACAAGTGTTAATGATTAACGTAGAGTATCATGATGACGTTGTCTAGTGTGAGACAATTGTTTGTGATTACCGTAGTACTTTGTTGCTGACTGCTGCGATCAGTCAATTAACGTAATTAATCACTTAAGGCAATTTCTTTTGGTTGTCGTCTGGTGACGAGAGTAGAGTAATCTAGGGATTTGTGGAGCTGTGTCCCAGAATCCCGCCTTGCCTGTCTTTGTTACTGTTTACAGGGCAACTTCTTGTAGGGAGTTGCAAAGAGTGTTCACACTGGGTTGTGATAGGGGGGGTCACTGTTGGACTACCCGCCTAGTTACGTGGGTCTCTCCTGGGGGGCGGGAGGACCCCTAAGCTTGTGATTATAGTAGCTGTCAGGGAAACCGAGACACTATTGATTGCATGCTTGTGTCTTCAGTGGATATCCTTCATTTGTTCAGTTAGTTCATGTTGTCAGCCCGAAGTGTCAGCAAGATGGAGCCTGCTGTCACTTCTCGAGGGGCTGTTGAATAGCTGTGTTGCAAATGCCACTTGATGGACAATAACGTAACCATTCGCTGTGGTGTAACTTAGTCTGTGATATTTTTCTTTGATTTGCAATATTGCGTCATCAGTGGGCACACCTGTGTTCAGGTTAGTTCAGTATGCAGCCTCACAGCAAGGGTTGCTATTTAGCTGTTTGTTATCGTGCCACTGGATGGACATTAACGTAACGTAAACTCGGTAATGTAGTAGTTAGTCTCTTGTTATTAATAAATTGTTATGTTATAGAAAACGGTCTTTGTTGTCAACCCTTCAACCATATTATTCCACACATGTTTCTGCATATTACGATTAAATGTTGATGTGATCTTGATATGACGGCTGTTCTTGGGAATTCGAATTCCAATTCATAGCGCCACATCAAATATAAATATTTGATTGTGAGAACCCGTCGGTTACCCTTTATTAGTTTTAACATCCTGTTTAACTAGGAGGAGCCAGCGGCCTATTGTGGACAGGTTTTCACCCCTAGTGGTGGAGGCCTGGCGGTTTGCTCCCGCTTTTCCTTTTTCTATTGGACTCATGCTTAACTGCCGTGAGCAGCCTTTAAACTTGTAGTCCACCTCCTAAGGGAGGTAGGCGTAGAAAAAAATCTCACAAAATCCAGGTAGCCGGCTGACGTGGCAAATTTCACCGCCAAACGCATAGATGTAAGTTTCTCCAGGCCTAGAAGATCGGCGGCCTTCAAATGCAAAACGTCCAGTAACGCGACTGCTACGAGAGGCCAGTCCACAGGAGCTGAGAAAGCAAGCCCCACAGTATCCACATGGCGAGTCGGCCTACCCCCAGCCGCCGCCATGCCGCCAGCTGACACGCAGGTCAGCGGGCGGACCACGCCACCAACACCAAACCACCCCCACACAGCGCCAAACAACCAATGGGAACGCGAGTGACGACGACTGCCCCCTCCAGTGGCGAGGCCTGGAATCATGAATATGCCAGGTTGCCCGTCGACTCGCTCACCTCGTTTGCGTCGTTCAAATGATTTTCTACTGGCATTCCATGTGTAATGTGTAGGCACTTCAGAACACAGCAGTATTTTTGCAAACGCGTCATTTTAACATAACGTGAAGAGAGCAGTTAATGTTGTAGCCAGTGGATTCATAGCTGTTTGTTGTCCATTTGCAGCTGTGAAATAAACATGTCTATTTTCTGGTTTTCAAAACAAAAACAAAAAAATACTAACGAAATATTTATATGCAAACGCAAATCAATAGACACAGCTCAATTTCACCACCAATTGCATTTAAAAATATGCAGAACAGTTAAAAAAACTAAATGAAAAACAATGAAAAAGAAACAAATAAACTATACCCTTGAATTGAATGGTATGGTAAACGACACAGCTCAATTCCAATGGAATGTCACACAAATTAATTAAATCAAAATGAAAATAAATCAAAATCTATGAAAATTCAATTTATCAATGCAATCAGAAACATTGAAATGAAATCGTAACAAATTTTGTATAGTGAGTGCTATTCTTACATGCAACAGATGGCGCTGTTTATCCAAAAAAAATAAAAGCATTTTTTTATCTGTCACAGGTGTGACATCTGAATTGTAGGTATATAAAAACAGGCACGTATTCGATTGGAACGTTGTGTCAAAATTTCAAAGCAATTGATGAAGAACTTTCGGAGATTACAGTGTGTGTTCCTCTTACGTCCTACAGATGGCACTGTTTTTTCAAAAAAACATGTTTTTTTCCTGTCACAGGTGAGACATGTATATTGTAGGTATATAAAAACACTCGCTTATTCAAATGCAATGTTGTGTGAAAATTTCAAAGCAATCGGTAAAGTGGTTTCGAAGGTTTCCCACACACATGAAAAACACACAAAAAAAACAGTTGTTCCAAAAAACATGTTTTTTCCTGTCCCAGACATGACATCTATATAGTATGTATATAAAAGCCAGCTCGGATACGAATGGAATGTTGTGTGAAAATTTCAAGGCAATTGGTGAAGAACTTACTTAGCGAGACTAAGATTAGCTATTTAGAGAGATTAGAGAACGAGATTAGAATTATTTAGAGAGATTATTAGAGAACGAGATTAGCTATTTTGAGCAAACGAACATTTCCATTTTTATTTATATAGATTAATGTCAACGGCATCCTTTACGCTTGAATAAGATAATAAATTTGTGAGGCAGGAACGACCATATGTAAACTCGTAAACTCGTGTTGGGAGTCTCCTATCAACCTTAACTTTAATAGGTGCTTTACAGAATCTGCAAGTATCACTTACAGTGACTTTCCCACGATCGATGTCAAAGTTTATTGGTCGTTAATTCGCAGCAAGAGTTGTCTCTCTCTCTCCTTGAATACTGTGGTACGTTAATGACTACACTCTAAACGTTTGCTGTCGGGGTACAAGTGGGCTAGAAAGCCGGTTATTAACTTAAATTACCCTTGAAACCGAAAACAATTGTGTGTGTGTATTTACTTTTTGTGTATTTATTATCTGTTCCGGCAGAATCGAGCTGTTAGCTCTTGAACCCGCCTTTCTAACCAATCTATTTTTCCTCTATTATATCTAATACATATATTTCAAGCACACACACACACATCCCCAGGAAGCAGCCCGTAGCAGCTGTCTAATTCCCAGGTACATATATACTCCTAGGTGAACAGGTGCATCAGGGTGAAAGAAACTCTGCCCTTTTGTTTGTGCCCCAGGCGGGAAGCGAACCCGGGCCCTTAGGACTACGACCCCAGAGGGCTGTCCACTCAGCCGCGAGGCCCTCAAATGTACTCACCTAGTTGATGTTGTACTCACCTGGTTGTGCTTGCGGGGGGTTGAGCTTTGGTTCTTTAGTCCCCTTCTCAACCGTTAATCTACTGGTGTTCAGATTCCTGAGCTTCTCGTGCTCTATCATATCTACATTTGAAACTGTGTGTAGAGTCTGCCTCCACCTCATCACTTCCTCGTGAATTCCATTTACTAACTACTCTATATTCTGTATGCCTCAGCCGTGTAATGCTCGATAACAGCGAATAACGTCGATGTGTGCGTGTGTGAGAAAGTCAAGACAAGAGGCACTCACACATGATGTAGCACGCAAGACTGTCCTGATAAATCGGTACGACCATGTTGACGGCCAGGAGCAGGAACCCAACCAGGGAGGTCAACACGTAGCTCAGCTGGAGCCGCCCAGCCAGCATCTTCACCTGCAGGGGTAGGCGGAAGGTCAGGGGGCGCCAGGGTAAGTTAGTTTAGTTTAGGTTACTTAACTGTCAGCAGTCATAAGTGAAGGGATCTGGTGTGGGTATTAGTGTAACTACAACTGTAAGCAGTTACTGACACAAGGTGTACCAGGAGACTGGTGTTGGTATATGTTAACCTCCAAACTGTTAACATTGTTACATAGGCCTTCATGCCTACATTTAATAACGATTTGTTATGAGTCTTACCACTGTATATTCTAGAGCAACACTCGCACATTATTTGTGATCATAAGTCATTATTAAAACGTTTCACAAGTGTTTTTGTGATTCAAAGTTTCAACAAATTGGCAGATCTCTGTAAACCTTTGATTCGCTAATGACGTCACTATAATATAGTCCAGACAGTCACACGTCTTTGGCAGTCAGGAGTGAGCAGTCACGTAATCAAGTTTTGTTTCAGAAATGTTAGACGAAGGTGACCAGGTTAATGACGTGGAAGCAGCCAGCACATTAGAGAAGCTAAAAATGGCTTTATGAGGAAGACAGACGTTCATTCAGTAACAAGAGGAATGGGAGAAAGAAATACCACATGGTGCTGTGGGAGTATATCCTCATTATCAATTTTTTTTTTAATTTTTATAAATGCAATTTTGTTTAAATGAACTGGGGGTTGCTTAGCTATTGTTGATGACCGTCCGGTCGTGCTAAGCTTGTTGAAGGGTGATAAAGGGTTAGTTGAATTTCGAATTTTGTTTTAGAGTTTTAGGAGAAAGTTTTTTATATAAATTTTAACTGGAATGATATTTTAACAACTTTTGTAAACGACAGGCTATAGTTAACATTGTTACATGAGCCATCAGTGTTTTTACTAAAAGCATTGTTAATAGGTCCACTGTTAAACCTGAACATCTATAGCGATCTCTGTATCATAAATAATATATACTAGACAAAGTTTATCATGAAAATCAATCATTTTTGTCATTGATTTTTAGAGATGCTGATAATAGCTGATGGCGGTAACATGACGCACCTTTCTGACGGAGTAGCCTTTGTTGACCTTCTGGGGGAGGAGGTACAAGGTGGTGGCCAGCAGGGCCACGCAGGACAAGGTCAGCAGCACCGCCTTCGCCCACAAATTTTCGCTGTTCACGCCCATGTCCATGGACGACCTTACACACATCATCACCTTCAGATGTTGGACTGTAGCATTCCCGAAGTATTCAAGGCAGTAATTCTCACGTTTGATAGTTTTATTATTAAGGCGGCAGCCCGCGTCCATATTTACCAGCTGTAGCTCCTGGTTGTCTATCATCTCCCCGTAGTCCTCGGAGGACCTCCTGCCCATGTAGTAAACATGGTAGCCGTTTTCAGTTTCACAAGTAGGGAAAGAATTATCAGTCAGCTTTGTTAGGTTAGCTGCACTCAGCAGAGGGTCGTGCAGTAGTGAGAGTCCCAGACTGTCGGAGACGCAAGTACCATTCTCCATGTACTGGCCGCAGGGACAGCACTTGCGTACGTTCCCCACCTCGGTGTAACACACGATAGCAACTGTTACAGTGTGGTTGTCCGGGCCGCGATAATCATCTACACAGTACCGAATGGCAGAGGAATTTTTTGCCTTTATGTCTACTGGGGGATATTGAGGCATGCTCTTCCACCAATGAATATTAGAGTCACTAACATTGATCAGCTTTTCAACGCAATGGCAATCATTGGTTCTAGCAGGAATACCAAATTTAGGTTCCATTTCTTCCAGCAACTGCAACATATATGGCGAGACATCTTCCCTCGAGGCACTAATGCAGCCAGACTTAGTAAGTATATGGCCGCGGGGACAGCATTTGTAGAAGGAGTCAACGGGACATATAGATGCCTCAGCCACCATCGCTGGAGTACCTTCTCCCCATGAATATTCAATACAGTAGAGTGAGCTCGGGTAACACTGTCCAGACTGGCGTTCACACAGTTGGTTCGAGGAGTCGAGAAAGGCTTGGTCGGTGCTGACTCTTCGGGGCTCACCGTGCCTGCAAATGAGCTTCGAGGTGTTCCAGTGGATGGACGTCACTCCTGGGTAATTCCTTGTGAATTCTTGCACTAAATCATTATATTCACTCACATTGGACGACCTCGGATGACAGTGTTTATCAGTAAGGTTGAAGTATTCGTTGACGCCACAACACTTCCTTGTGGAAACCTCAATGGGTCGTAAGGGACAGAAAATTTTGCTAAGAATGCCAGAGGAAATATTCTCAGCATCTGGAGCTTCCATTTCCAAACAGTAGTGATCTTGATCATAATTAAGTTTTGATTTGAGGTCTCTTAGGTAACCAAAAGGTAAGATGGAGTGAGACGTAAAGTCTATTGGTTCACGTTTTTTTTCATCACCAGGGTCTTGGCATTGTCCCATTATTAAAGGGACGATCCTCAGGTCGGTATTCACATTCTTCTCCAGCAGGCTACGCACCAGTATTGTGAACGCTGTATTGTCCTCCAGCGTTTCACGTCTACGAGTTTTAAAGTTAAAGAATTCATTGATACCGAAGCACTTCCTCACTCGCGTCTCCTTAGAAATGTCTTCAACAATGGTTGAATTTTCATGTTTTCGTGAGTTCGATTCCAGCATTGTTTTTTGACCATCAGACTGCAAGAGAAAGCTTTCCTTGTTCACTGGAACATCATCATGGAGTGGGACGCGCCTGTATCTCTTTACTGTTACATTATTAGTATTTTTAGCAGGTACAGATTGTACTGGTTTCTGGGATCTAACATGAGCAGAATTGCGCCTTAAGATGTTAGTGTTGGTGTTTCCGATCATGTGATCACTGTTTACTAGTTCTTCATCGTCTTGTGCGTGACTTGCCAGAGTCATATTCATTAACGGGTGTATATTTCCTGAAGTTCTGTTGATGCGAATGTGCTTCTGATGGGGGTCTGAAGAGACGTTCAGTACACTAGTTCTCATCATAATATCATCCACTGTCTTATTGTTTGTCGCAACTGCCCGCACAACACTGTCTTCACTTACACCCATTATTGGCATGTTCAGTTGGGTGTTGTTCGCGAGTGCTTCATCTGCATCATGATCGTAGCGACTTGGCTCCTCTTGTGTAACGGGTGTCTTGATCTCCGAGTCTTTCACGAATATTAATGTATGATCGTCACCAACATCACTTCTCCCAGCCACTTTGAAGTGATTCAATGCGCCATGAGCACCTGACGCATCTTCCTGAGAGACCGGGAGCTGAGAGACGCGCGGCGGCAGTGGTGTTGGTACAGAGTCGGTTGTCATGTCCGCGTGTAGACTCATCAGTGAGTTGCCAGCAGAACTGTGTGTAGGTTGGCTGCACCAACCCTCTGTCAGTAGCCAAAACATTACAAACATTGAGACACGTGTGGAAGGCAACATAGTGAAGGGCTGCCTGCCCGACACACACCGCCTGCGGAAGAAAAAGACACTTAGAGAAGCAGTAAAATGAAAGTAAATTGACCACATTGGGTGTCATTGCATATGTGGGAACAAATTTATAAAATAAATCCCTAAAATCCTTAATATACTTTGCCCATACAAAACAAATATATATATATGTTGTACCTAGTAGCCAGAACGTCGTACTTGGCCTGCTATGCAAGGCCCTATATGCCTAATAGGCTAAGTTTTCCTGATTTTATATATTTTTCCAATTTTTTTCTTATGGAATGATAAATCTGTCCATTTCATTATGTATTAGTTAATTTGCTTAAATTTGAGTTAAAACTAACATAGATATTTGACCGAACCTAACCTACCCTACCTAACCTAACCTAACCTATCTTAACCTAACCTAAACTAACACAACTAAGTCAATAAATTATGGTCTTAATTTTAAATAATAATAATAATTCAAATAAACTATTTGGAAAAAATTATTGCAAATAAAAAAAATCACTCGGCCTATTAGGCAAATCGGGCCTTGCATAGTAGGCCGAGAAGTGCGTTCTGGCTACTAGGTACGACATATATATATGTATATATATATATATATATATATATATATATATATATATATATATATATATATATATTTATATATATATATATATATATATATATATATATATATATATATATATATATATATATATATATATATATATATATATATATATATATATATATATATATATATATATATATATATATATATATTATTAAATATGACCGAAAAAGTAAGATTAATAATTCTAACACGAATTTTCTCGATCTTTCTTACGTTTCTTTTCACTGTTGATGGTAATTCAAAGATCAATTCTCCAAAATTCATTTTTATTTCTAGTCTGACACGACACTTGAACGCATTTCGTAAAACTTATTACTTTTTCAGACTTTAGTTTACACAAACACACACAACTTTAACTGAATAGAGCTTAAACATCTTTCGAGTTTTTATACCTACATACTTATACATACATACTATATACTTTTATATATCTTTTTATATATCTACTATATACATGCCTAATGTGTGACAGGAAAAAAAATATGTTTTTTTTTTTAAAAACAGCGCCATCTGTTGGATGTAAGAGCAACACACTCCGTAATCTCCAGAAGTTCTTCACCAATTGCTTTGAAATTTTGACAGAACATTGCATTCGAATAGGCGCGTCTTTTTATATACCTACTATATAGATGCCACCCCTGTGACAGGTAAAAAGGTGCGTTTTTAAAAAACAGCGCCATCTGTTGCACATAATGGCAACATGCATGCTATACTAAATATGTCACGAATTCCATTTCAGTGCTTCTGATTGCATTGATAAATTTGATTTTCATAGATTTCAATTTATTTAAATTTTTGTGAATTATTTTGTGTGACATTGTGTTTGAATTGAGCTGTGTTGTTTACCATACCGTTCATTTCGTAAGTACAAATATAGATGCGACACCTGTGACAGGTAAAATTATGCTCTTCTTGAAAAACAGCGTCATCTGTTGCATTAAGAGCAACACACATGCTATACTTGATATATTACAATTTCATTTCAATGTTTCTGATTGCATTGATAAATTGAATTTTCCTAGACTTTGTTTTTTTTAAATTTTGATTTAATTATTTTGTGTGAATTGCATTGGAATTGAGCTGTGTTGTTTACCCAGACCGTTCATTTCGTGAGAATAGTTTATTTTTATATTTTTTCATATTTTCATTTCATTTTTTAACATTTTTTCTTATATTTCAGTGATTGCTAGTGTTTTCAAGGTAGTAGTGCCTCGACATTGAACGTTAACAATTCGTAAAATACCATGGTGGTCAGGATGGACATCAACAATTTTACCTATAGGCCAATCTGACCTGGGACCATCACTGTCTACTGGGACAAGATCACCTGGTTTAAGTTGAACTTTATTGTATGGGCTTGCATCTCCATAATGATATTATCTTAAAGCAGTTAAATATTCACGTATCCAGACCTTATTCCATTTCTCTATTACCCTTGAAAGGTGTCTATAACTCTCCACAAAGTCACACGCCTTGACGTATGAAGGGTCAGCTGGATCCTCGTCTCCAATAGATATTAGAGGACTCAGAAGACCACCATGAATCAAATGAGAGGGGCTTAGAGGTTCTCTTTGGGAGAAATCTTCTGATAAGTAGGTTAGAGGTCTGTTGTTGACTCGTGCTTCAATTTCCACGACAAGGGTCTGTAATTCAGTGAGATTAATTTTCTGCCGGTGTAAGGCTTTTCTTAGGCATTTCTTAATAGTTCCCACGATTCTTTCGTAAAAACCGCCATGCCATGGTGCTCTTGGAGGGATAAATTTCCAGTAGCATTGTCTCTGTTTAAGCACTGAGTGTTCTTCTGGATGGTTCCATATTTATTGTAAGCAAGCCTCTCCTGCCACGAAGTTAGATCCATTATCTGAGATCATTAATTTTGAGCAAGGTCTTCGTGCAGCAAATCTGCGAAAGGCTTGCAGAAAGGCTTCTGCACTCATGTCAGAAGTGACTTCTAAATGTACTCCACGTGTGGTAGCACACGCGAAGAGGCAAATGTAGGCTTTCACTGGAATCTTGTCCGGTGTGCCTGTTGAAATTAGTGCTCCTGTGTAGTCGACACCTGTGGTTTCAAAGAGACGAAGGTGGACGATTCGCTCCTTTGGTAGGGGTGGGGGACCTGGATAAGGACACACACTCGAGCATCATATCTCTTGCAGATTAGACAAGACTTAATTAAGGATTTGACAGTTTGGCGACCTTGGGGAAGCCAAAAACGTTGTCTCAGATCAGTAAGAGTATCTAATACTCCACCATGCAATGTATTATGCTCATGGTAATGTAAAACTATGAGTTTAGTAATGATGTGGTGACGTGGTAGAAGTATAGGATCCTTCATATCTAAATTTATTTCTGCATGAAGCAGACGTCCGCCGCATCTCAAAATGTTATAGTTGTCTGAGTCAAGCCAGATACCCAGAGACTTACGCAACTTCTCTGGGAGATGTTCATATTCCTTCCCATAAGTCTCTTGTTGAGCTTGTTTGACCCAATATTTGATGGAACTAGGAAATCGATACTTGATCCCCATCTTGTTGATGAAATCAAATACCATATCTGTAACTCTTGGTAATTTGCTTAAATTGGAATAATGATGAGGATTGATGGCTAAAGTTCAAAGGGGTTCTGGATCCGCAACAGGTGTAGTGATATTGGTCACAATGACTTGTGGCTTCTGTTGGGGCCACTGACCACTAACTAGCCATTGGGGTCCATTAAACCATATCTCGGTTTTTAACTAATTGCTTTAAAGTCAAACCTCTGGATAAATAGTCAGCTGGATTGTCCTTGGTGGGGACATGTCTTAATTTATAACCAGCAGACAGTTCTAGAATTTCCCTTACTCTATTGCTGACATATGGAGTTTTCTTGTCGTTTTTTACCCACTTTAATACTGCCTCATTGTCTGACCACACTACTATTTCACCAAGGTGAACATTACTGAGGGTTTTGATCAGGCAATGAGCCAGTCTTACGCCTACTAATAAGGCAGTTAATTCCATTTGGGCTAATGACCTCCTTTGAATCGGGGCTACCCTTGCCTTGGATGTAAGCAAAAATGATTGTTGAGTATTAACTAGATAGGCTACTGAGCCATACGCTTTGCCTGTAGCATCGCAGAATACATGTAAATTTGTTGGTAAATTTAGTCCTAAGGTATTTCGAGGAAATTGTAGAATACTAAGTTTGTTGTAATCAGGAATCAACTGCTGTCATTTTTCATGGAGATCCTCCGGCAACGTTTCATCCCACCTCAAATTCCTTTGCCAGCACTTCTGCATAAGAAGTTTACCCTTAATTAGAATAGGGCTGAGTAGACCTAAAGGGTAAAATGGCTTGCTGACACGGGAGAGTAGTTTTCTCATAGTTAGAGGTGAATGGTTGATTTCCACTGATTTGATATTCAATTTGTCTGTGGAAGTATTCCACTCCATACCTAAGACTTTCAATTTGCGAGGTACCTTATAATCAGGGAATTCTTCCTCGATTATTTGGTTTAGTTGTTTATTATTGGAGGCCCACGACTGTAAGGGCATGTTGGCTCCTAACACTTCACGATTAGTCTCAAGGTAAATTTCCACTAGATTATTCTCATCATTAGTAGTCCCTTGAAAATTGTCAACGTATAAATTGTTGCTAATCTCAAACTTGTAGGGGCTATTAGACTTCTTAAGATGTGTAACCAGAGTAGCCTGGAGTAGAAATAGTGAAGATGTCGCTCTGAACAGTACCGAGGCATTATATTAGCTGTAATATGTCGAAATAATGACTTCGCTATTAGGATCCTGTGGATCTTTCACCCAGAGATATTTAGTAAAATCACGATCCGTCTCTTGTAAGCCTACTCTTAGAAAGGCTTTACTAATGTCGGCCGTATTGACGAAAACATCAGAGCGAAATCGTAATAAAATATCTTGTAGTCTTTGGGTTAGGCTAGGTCCAGTTTGTAGACAATTATTTAGTGACAAGCTTTCTGCCTTTAATTTGGCTCTACAATCCTGATTGGTGTTGTAACTGAATCTTTCAGGACAGCATGATGTGGCAAATAATGGCCTGATTTATGGTGGTCTTCTTCAACAACTTCTATAAATTTGTTAGCAAGTTGTTGCTGTATCAAAGCATGATAAAGTTGCAATTTATCTGGTTGCTTCCATAGCCTAGCTAATTTAGAATTTAATTGGGTTGTGGCCATGAAATAATTTACTGGGAGCTGTGGGTGGTTCAGCTTCCATGGGAGTCTCACCCTATATTGATTATCTTGAAAAATAACAGTATCAAGATATTGTTGATATGTCCATGTGTCATCTGGACTGGGTTGATCAAGGACTATGCCTAAGGTGTCCAAATCCCATAATTTGTGAACAGGGGGATTGGACTCATCATCCTCGGTTTCGTCCCTGACA